TCATTTGGTACAATTCTGAATTAAAGTCAATGTGAATCGGAAATATTTGTGCCTTTTCCCTTTGCATTGTAATGCACTTCTGACTGAAATACAGTATCAGAGAGGGTCTCTGAGCTGTAGGTGGGGTGGCAGGAGAAGACTGATAATGGAATAATGCTAGCTGAATCTACTTCCCCCTGACTTTTATAAGTTTATAAGTGTGTTGTCAGGCTTTCTGTTCTTTTCTTAGCGCTAGGAAACAGGTCACAATTATTTTTTATAAATAATTTAATAATTTTGTGTTGTTATAATGTATTAGACAGTGAAAGTTTACTTTGCACATGCTACACGACCAAGTGCCACATAACATCTACCAATGTAACATCTATAGATTTAGTCGCCACCTTCAGATCGATGCACCACTGTTTTTTACTCCTACTTTGTATTTAATATGTCAATTTTACTGAAAAAATGCTGAATTTGGCGATTATATTACTGAAATGGGGGTAATGCCGCATGAATTGTGTTTAAGTATGTTCTCTATGGTGGTGCTTATGCCACTACACACACACAAACAAACACCCACTCCTGCCACGTTCCAGTTGTCAGCTGAGTTCCGCAGCTCAACAGAAGAATGCCAGGCATTACAGGCATTCACAATGGCTCCAGTAAAACAAAGCGAGCTGCAGCGTGTGCCAGCGTTTCACTGTGGACTCAGCACTTAACTCTAATGAGAGCTACTTTTTTGGCCATGGCCCCGGAGCAGGGGAACGCCACTGACGTAATGGCCTCGCACGGGCAGTGGAACGACGGAGAGATTTCAAGAGTAATCCCAAACGACACAGCACGGAGAGCCACTCATGGCTTGTTGCACAAGCCTCTTTCACTGGGCTGCGGATATACTGGAATTACCAGGCCACGGATCAGCCAGGTTTTAAAGTTCAAGATTACTTGTTGTCTTTTTGTACTGAGGTACACTACAGGCCAAAACATGGACGCAAAGTGATTTTTTTTATTTATTGTTTCATTTTTTCTACAATTAATTCTGTTTGCCCACAATAAACACCAACATTTATTGGCATTATTCAGCCAAATATATTCTTCCAAACCGTTGCACTGGTTTTCAGTTGGGGCTGCATAGACTAGTCAACTAAAAAAATACTGCAGGAAATGAAATTCCACTGCAAGCTGTGTAATACTACGCTGAAATACAGGCTTGTATGCCTAACCCTAACCACTGTCTCTAATAGGAAAGGGCAATTTGACAGACGTGCGAAACGGCCAATCACAGACCGTTTATGAAATATTTACATTGTCATATTATTAAACTCAAATTGAATAAAGTGGAGCTGGTAAACACACAAGGGCATCTTGTTTACTTGTTACTTGTGGCCTCAAACTAAATTCAGGAATAATTTCTTAAAACAGGATATTTTCATAGTTTTCTGGTTCTGCGACTGGGCTGTCTTGCTCTGGAATTGGTGTGCAAAGATACAACTGCTGGCTACTAGCATGTAGCTTGATAAATAATCATTTGTTTCCCATCAGACTCATACAAGCAGTGCAGAGAAGTGCAAATAGCCTGAGACAATTTAAATTCTCCAAGAGAGTTGAGATTCTAAGTGCTGTAGTGATTTTAAACACTTCTGCAAAGCACATCTCACACCTCAAACCGTAGCCCCCCCAGCTGCCCCAGCCCCTTACAGCAAGCTACAAACAAAATACTTTCTTTTAAATATGCTTTTTTTAGCCAACAAATAGTCATTAAACCCTTAGTTTTCAGTGCTGCATTCTGTATATAAATGCAGACTGTATATTCTGTATATAAATTCCGTATATAAATGTAATGATTTGTTAACATTTTATTTGTTAAGACTTTTTGCAACATTCAGTTTACTTTAACCCCTTAAAATCCCAGGGTTATTACATATTAAGGCTTATTATTCAGTAACTGCAGGGACTTCAATGCAAACAGGGTGAGTAGTTTACAGAAGTCTGTAACAAAACTTTGGGCCTGCTGGTGGACCCTGGCCATTTAAGGGGTTAAATCTATTCACACAGCACAACAGTCTAATAATAATCTAATCATAAATATGCAAAAAAGCATCATAACAGTGTAAATGTGGCGGACAGCGATGCATCTTATCTGGAATGCTACAATGTTTTTTTTAACCTTATCATCCGTTAGGTACATTTGATTACCACTGACAAAAACTTGTGTTTCCTTGTATTTAGTAAAAGAACAGAAGACCTGCTGAGGCGAAGCTCACTTATATGGAATGGAAGCCAACCAGATGGTGCTAAAGCAACTGCCCATTGACTTTTATAAGTGTGTTGAGTGGACAGGTTTTCTGTTCTTTTCTAAGTGCAAGGAAATGGATCAAGATTATTGTTCATGGTATCAAACTATATGCTAGATTAGGTTGAAATATGCTGGACTATTCCTTTAATGCTGTGTTGTTATAATGTCTGGGACAATGACACAGATAATATTGCACATGCTGTATCACCAACTGCAACATCACATCAACCATGTGCAATGTAACAGTTATATAACTTACAAAAACTAATCATATGAATACCTGCGCCAATTCAAAAGTAGCAGCATCCAAAACATACACTCAGTCTCGCTACTGTTCACATCTGTTACTCATGAAAAGCAAAGAACTTCCAAAAATGAGAATTAGCTTCTGTGAATTACAGCCTGCAGTTGTACTTCAAAAAGAAAGAGAACCTCTCATGAAACAGGATTTTAGACCGAGAGGTATTTTAAATTTACTGTTTACTGCGATACCCAATGTCACCACTATGTTTCAAAACCAATAAAAAACTGCCCACAAAAAATATGCCTTCCAGATGTAGCTGCAGAACATCTGTTTTCAGGGCGGGAGCTGTTAAAGACAGAGGAAGTCCGCTCAGTTTGGATTGGAAAGGACCAAGACAGAATACACAGCCTTTGGCTATCTTTGGCTTCAAACTCACAGGATCACAAGAGTTCATTGATAAAGCGATGCAGTGACTGGCTCTGACAAGTACAACACAACGCTTTGTCAGTGCTAGAAGATCAAGAAAAAGAAATGTGCACTATGCAAAAACAGAGTAGCTCAGAATGTGTGGACAGCATGATTAATGCTGGACATTTTATTCGCTGGACAAAAAAGAAAGTCCTGGATTAAACTCCGATCAGAGTAAAAAAAAAGGGTGATTATTTACTGGTCTGGTGAGTTCTAATCCAAGTCTAGCCTGCCTAGCTGCTGATTTACAGGCTAGTCATGTTAGATTATACAGCAAACTGATTAACATAAAATGTGTCTTTGAAGGTAATACAGCAGTTACCAGAGAGCTCAGTCGTGCTGTTGTGACAAGAGTTAGGGTTAGGGTAAGCAGGACCATCAGCCAGCCCTGCTTGATGCCTTTAAAGGGCCCATATCCTGCATTTTTCTTGTATTTTATTTTTTTCACTTATGTTCTGTGTGGGTTTATGTACCATTAACGTCATGATTGATGTTTATTTGGGTATTTCGGGAACCTTTCTTTATCCCTTAGAATTAAATAGGCTGTGCCGTTAAGACTGGTATACGCAAATGATCTCTGTTCTGATTGGCTGCCCTCATTCAAAAAGCAGTCTGGACTGAAACCGTCCTTAAAACTCTATTATGAATGGGCAGGACTAAACTGCTGCAGGTTGAATGGGCAGATATATGTAGATGTGTTGGTTTTTGTGACATCACAAAAATATTGAATTCAAAATGGGCTGTTTTTGCAGCTTAGCTGCCACATCGACTGGGAAGCAAACAGTATGTTTTGAACACACTACATCAAACACTTTTATTTCAAAAAGGTGAGTAGAACATTGGTTTTGCGTGATATGGGACCTTTAATGCTGTGATGCACCACAAAGTTCTCTAAAGCCAGCCCACCAAAAGAAGTTTTAAATGTTTTATTCATAGATCACATTATGTATACGAGCTCCTCTTGCTCCCACAGGAGGCAAAGTACAGTGCAAAGTACAATTTTAAAGAGCCCATATAACGGAAAACACATTTTTCCTTTTTTTTTTATAATAAAAGAGTTCAATGTAGCATGTAAACATTGATCATTCCTGTCAACACTCCCCCAGTCAATATGGCACTTATATGGAAACTATGCTGCAAAAACATCCTGTTTTGAATGTACTGTTTTTGTGATGTCAAAACATCAACACATTTACTAGCATCCACCTACAGCAGTCTTGCCCCGCCCATTTGCACTGAAGTTGTAAGGAGTGTTTCTGCTTTAGAAAGAGGCAGAAATTGTTTACTTAATTAAAAGTGATGTCATTCACTTATATTAGTCTTAAAGGCACAGTAACTAAAACACGGATATAGAGAGGTTGAAAATGGTCATGTAAAAATAAAATAAAATATGACTGTCCCACACAAAAGCGCCTCATAAGTTGACCAAAAAAAAACAAGAAAAATGTAGGATATGGGCCCTTTAAGAGTGAATTTGAGTCTGTGTAGTACCATACGTGGAGATAGATAGACAGACAGACAGACAGACAGACAGATAGACAGATAGATAGATAGATAGATAGATAGATAGAAAAATGGATGGATGGACAACAGATGCTAGACAATAAGGCTAAAGAAACGACTTATTCATCAGTCATTCAACAGTTTTAAGCGACACTGCTCAGTTTTTTGACATATAAAGACGCAGGTCGATAACGTGCAAAGAAGCCAATAAAAGTTGTCCCCTCCACCACCAGCCACACTAACTGCTTTATGAATTAATAACTACATGTTTGTCGACTTTTCTCCGTCTTAACCTTGACAGTGAGTCTGTAGTCCTGCACAGCGCGGACTCCGGAGCAGGTCAGGTGAGCTCTACAACTATCAGTGGAATTAGTAGGCAATGCTAACTGACAGTGTTGAGCACTTTCGAGGCAGACTTGTGAGAGACACTGGCACAATTCTGTTAAATACTTTTTTGTTATGTATATCATCATGTACTAAAATGCAATAAGAGTATGCTCTTACCGTTCGTGTTCATGGTGAGAAGTGTCCTCGCCTCCAGTAACGACCAAGCACCTTAACGTTACACTCCCGTCATGGTCCCCGTTTTATGGCTGTTTAAGGACAGTTATTTACACAAACACACAAATTACTGATGAAGTGTTTTCCTCCTGAAAAACTGGAGGAGGAAAGCGGAGTCCCGGAGAGCAGTTTCTGGTGTCCGGCTGGCGAACAGACGCGGACAGAGCGGAGTGATGGGTGGCTCCCCGCGTGAGGAAACCGTTAAAACAAGCCCGCTGCTGTGGTCGCTGGCTAGTCCGCTGCTAAACACAGAGTTTGAGTGAATCAGTCCGCAGCGCTTCGTCCTGTGAGGACTCGGCTCCTGCAGTCCTGTGTCCCGTAGGTGTGCGTGTGGCGGTGTGTTCACAGTCCCGGGCTGTCAGTGGCTGTGCCATGCCCCTCTGTTTGTGTGTGTGTGTGTGTGTGTGTGCGCTCCATTGAGGAGAGAGAGAGAGAGAGAGAGAGAGAGAGAGAGAGAGAGAGAGAGCGCCCCATGTGCTCACAGGACAAAGCCGTTAGCCGTTTCACTGACGGTGAGGCATAACTAGTTAGCTAGCAACTTCCACCCTCAGGAGTGGTTTGGTAACGTTACTACAGGTTTACTGTGGACATAGTTCTGTTCAAAAATCAATTAGTGAATATTAAACAAAAAACATCTCATAAATTAATGTTATGACGTTGCATTATACCAGTGTTTAACCAAGGGACCGGTGTTCTATAAGCTAACTCAGTGCTATAACGGCGCCTATGTAGACCGGCATAGGAAGACGAACTTTCCGCTTTCACGCGTCTGTAGCATTTTTTTATTCCTTTTTAATTTTGGCTTTTTAAAGGGGAATTCCACTGATTTTTTATTTTTAAAAATCGACGTAATTAAATGGTTAAGATGTAAACAGAGTCATTCAGAGTGGTTTGGTGTGAAATGCTCCGTTCTAGAGAAACGTACTCTATGAGAATTGTTCACAGTGGTGGTGATAGGAACCAGACGTCTGAAGAGTTTACGACCTCTAAAACGTCCCTCATAGAAAATTATTACATGGGATGATTAGGTCTATGCTGCCTGATGTCTGAGACAATGCCTTAAGATAGTTTTGTAATAAAGTTTTGTCTTAAAGTCTATTTTAATCCATTCATGGCCGTATGATACATGCAGGGTGCTGTATGGCAAAATAGTCCCCAAAGAAAACTTAGTTTTTCAGATTTAGGACTTTTAGGACTACTCATCAGCAATACATATAAAACTCAGAAGACACGTGTAGGTTCACTGGTGGTTTTGGAGAGTAAATAAAATGGCTATATCTGTGTTGTAGACATGGCAACCCCTGGTTCCTATCACCTCCATAGCAAAGAAATCAGAGTCTGTATATTTTTCTACAATGAAACCACTTCACATTAAACCACTCTGAATGAATATGTTTACATCTCAAGGACTGAATTATTCAGAAGTTTTGAAAAATTGATGGAATTTTCCTTTAAGAGCAAACGTGGGTAAATCTGTATTGTGTACAAGGATGTTTATTTGCTGACATCTTGTGGTGAGAATCTCTTTACTCTTTTTCTCCTCAGATGCAGTAGGATCTACCCTCATCTCCTGTGGTGTGAGTTTCATCTTGTAGCACTTTTAAGGTGGGTTCGTTTTGCACACAGTTTGTCCTTTTGCTGTTCAGTGGCTTATTTCTAATGACCTGAATGAATTTAGAATTTTTCTTTACTGCAAGAAACGACCCTTCTTCTTTCTTTTCGTGGGGGACCTGTAGGGAAACTCCCTACAGAAATTCATACGCTTTGCTAACAGTTTGTTTTAAGCAACTAGTTTATTATAGGTGGATAAATCTAGCTATTTATGTAGTTATTTTGTTTGTTTGTTTGTTTGGGCTCTTTTACATAACATCCAGAAGATGTCAGTGTTGTTCCAAAAATGTCTTTCTTCATTTAAACATGTATTCTGTGATTTGTATTTGGCAGGTCTGGATATAAAACACTAAACCATTCTTTGTAATAAACAGAGCCAAAAGGCCTATTTAGGTATTTTCTAGCTCTCAAATTTAATTCAGATATTAGGATTGTCAAGCTGGGAGTGAATGCATATGCAAACACTGTTAACATCCTGACCAAGTTAAACTGTTTCAATTTAAAGCCTCATTGCTTTGAAGGCACAAGAGATTCAAAGAGGCTCTGGTTCTCAGTGACTGTCACTTTGGTGCCATTTGGACTCGAGTGACCCCCTTGTCTTCCTGGCATGGGATGTGACCAGAGGGCAGTGGTGTGTTGGAGACGTACTGGCTGATTATCAGCACCTGAGGAGTTGATCTCTTTTTGTCCTTCCTCCGACACACACTTGGGGTGACTGTCCTGGATTCTTAAACACTGAATAATTTCAGACTTAGCCCTAGATTCTTACTTCATTTTCTTTACCTCTAATTAATAATAAATTGACCTTTTTCATTATTAAACATGGAGTGGTCCCCCATGTTCATGTTGCCTCCTTTGAACAAGCCAGGTCATAACACTAGCTGGAATACTCCAGCGTTTCTAATCTCTGTCTGCTGAAGATGTATCACACTGTTTAGCCCCTTACAATCCCAGGCAGAATAATAATAATAATAAAGAGAAGAAGAGGAAGGATAATTGTGTCATTTTTATTTTATTTCAATAGTGGCTTTTTCAAACTTAAGTTCACTACTAAATCCATGAACATAACAGCCCAGGCAAACCAAATAGAACAAGAATTAGCAAAACATTACAATCAAATATAATAGAAAATGCCAAAATAGTGGACAGATAACAGAGCAGAAGCAGTAAAGGAACAAACAACGAGAGTACTAACTCTGTAGCAGAGAGAGCACCAGTTTTATCAGGATGAGAATATAGAAGGCAGAATAGTGCTGAGTAAAGAGGTGGGTTTTGATTTGTGTTTACAAGGCTGAAACATGTAAGATCACAGAGACTTTGAGGGAATGTTACACTGAATGCCCTGCGGTCAATTGAGGGCAATCTGAAACGGGGCAGCCTAGGCAGAGCAGCACCAAAGGAGCAGTGCAAAAGTCAGAAACCACCCTTCATTCATTTAATTGTAATTATTTATGTATTTATGTATTATATATGTATATTTATGTATAATAATTGGGTACCCAAAACTATAGTTCAAAAATGATTAAAAGATACAGAGAAAATGGGACTTTTAACAGCTGGCTGACCACCAAAACTGTCACCGTCAGATATCATTTTTGAGAAAAAGGAGAAAGTCAAGCTCCACTCTTGTATAGAGAAAGGGTTGGGTAACCAGTACAGCGTATGAAGAATAGGTGTAAAGTGTACAGAGCATTTCGTATGGGATCTAGTGAGGTCTCTAGCTGCTGAGTTTTGAACATACTGTAATTTGGTGGAGAGATTAACTGGACCACTACTAAGAAAGGCATTACAGTAATCAAAGTGAGAGCAGATAAAGGCTTGAATTAGCACATCCGCATCCTTACTGCTGAGCATGGAAGGGGGTTTGGTAATGTAACCGAGGCAAAATGAGTGAGGAGTCAAATATGATACCACACTCTCAGAAAAAAAGGTACTGCTCTGTCACTGTGGCAGTACCCCTCTTGTCACTGGGGTGGTACCCTCAAGGGTACATTTTCAGTACCTTTAATTTGGGAACATAATTGCAATTGTATTTATTATCATGGGCATTGCTAGGTCAATTATAGGGGGGCTTTAGACCCCAATAAATGTTATTTAGCGCCCCTTCCCAAGTAAATTTTATTACTAGTGCAAATCATCTATAAATTATTTTCATTCACAATATACTGTAATAGCAGGGCGCGGCCTGGGGAAGTCACTGCTGCTGCTGCTCTAAAGCAGCACTGCCTCTGTTGTACTATAAGAGTTTAACTAACGTAATGTTTGGCTAATCATATCAGACCTCATATGTTGCAATCCAATCATATCAGACATCATACATTGTAAGCCAATCATATCATCATAAAAGCTCACTAAAATGAACATTAGGCCTCATTCAACATCTATAATATGCAGAGTGAAACAGTGTGAAACAGTGTGAATATATCCACCTACAATATGGATTTGTGGCAAATTATGGTCAGTATAGCTGTATATCTTTTTTTAACTTGGTTGCCTGTTAACTCTATCTAGCTAACTTTGAGTTAAAGTGAAAAGCGGTTAGGCTACCACAAACACTGACATTAGCTAAGCAACTGACAAGCCAACAAGTTTAACCTCACGTCATAGTGAGTGTGAGAGTTCTATGGAGCCCTGCTGCTGACATCTCGTATAAAAAAAATAATGCCTGACCATGACTTAGTAAGGTGTGGGTATGAGATAATTAAGCCTTGACCACGGCTTAATAAGGCATGATGTCATTCCCACGCCCTACTTAGTCGTGGCTGCGACTTAATTATCTCATTCCCACACCTTACTAAGTCATGGCCAAGCATAGGATCTCGTTCCCATGGTTCAATACGGTGTGGCCACGCATTACTTTTATTCACCACCAGGGCTCTGTAGAGTTCAACTTTGTGTGAAAAGGTCATCATAACACAGTTTTATATTCCTCAATTCCTCAAACTGTAGATGAAAATTAAGAGGCAGCAGCTCCATCAAAGGGCAATCAGATGAGAAGATTCTTACCAAAACAAAAAAAAAACATTGATTGATCATTTCTTTGAGTTCTTGTAAATCCAAGTTTAGTAAAATTAATGTATTACTAAACACAGGGAGATGGGGAGAAAGAAGCTGACGGAGACTGACAGGACTGAAGGAGCAGATCTGATGGAGGTTAGTGATCAAGAAGAAAATGAGGGAGAGCTGTATAAGCTTTTAGTTAAAATTAATGCCGAATTTAATTTAACTTGACTGAGAAAATTGTATTTATAAGTTCAATGTATTTCTATATTATATAGTATTAACTCCAGACATCTTGTCTTGTCTCCAGGCCTTTTATTGTATTGTTCTGTTTTAAAGAATAAGTTATAAAAAGCGTACAAATATATACTTTCCCTGGGCAAAACTTACTTAAGGTACACTTAAAACCATTGTTGTACCTTTGAGGGTATGTGTACATTGTTTGTACCTTGAGGAGCAGAAAATAGGCCTGCACTGTAAAAATTTTCTGACTTTGAAAAATTGAGATTTGTAAGGGGCTTTACCTGCACTCCGTCAGTGTCAAAAGATAAACCAAAGTGGGTGCTAACAAACGTTTTGGAATCATTTATTAGGAGATCAGTTTTATCAATGTTGAATTTAAGGCAATTAGAGTTTATTCAGATCTTAATATCACAGATACAGACAGTGAAAGAGGGAGCAGACAGGGAAGTAGAGGGGCTGGAGCTCGTATAGATCTGTGTATCATCATCATAATGAAAACTGAGTCCTTGCTA